AAATGGATGCTGTCCAGTAGGTGGGAGGGTCTGCTAGGGAGGCTGTGCTGCTAATTGGCTGGAATGTGTCTGCTGACTGTGAGGTACAGGGTCAAAGTTTACTCAATGATGACGAATAGGGGGCGGGTCGAACCGCGCATATGTTCGCCCGCCGTGGCGAACGCGAACATGCTATGTTCGCCAGGAACCGTTCGCCGGCGAACCGTTCGGTACATCACTATTAGACAGCACAAACTCATAACACCTATGAATCATGGCACAGACCGACTCGATTTCTGTAGCCTCTGGCTGGTCTGTGTGCCTGGAATTTTCACAAACATTAGTCCTGGAAACTGGATACTCTATTCTTCGAGTGTCTCATAGAACATACGCATGGAGACAGGGATGAATGAAACAGTTCATGTGATCAAGGACTTTTGTGTGTTTGTGGTCACATTGTTTTGTTTTTTCTTTCTTTATACCATTAACCACCTTGACATAACAGTTTCCTGCTCCTGATGCATTTTGTTCCGACTCTCACCACTCTTAGCTGCAATATTTTTTTTCCTTACAGCAACAGTTGAGCATAGTGTCCAGTGCTTCTTCTTCTTCTGCTTAAAATATCCTTGCTTGAAAGTTCTTGAATGAAAACACAGGCAATGACGAACACAAACATAAATAATAACTGTGCCAATCATCACAAGTACCATTTGATTGTGGTGTCTTAACCATATTTTTTCCTATGGCGTTTGGATAAATACCTACACACCTCTCTTCACATCCAGCACACTCCTGATTCACAGATAAACACAATATCACTGCTGTATCTACCAATTTAACCCAAACACTCGTTATTACTGCTGCATTTACCAATTTAATCTAAACACTCGTTATCATTGCTGTATTTAACCAATTTAATCTAAACATTAACCAAAACAATTACATTCCTATTTACCACCCTTCTATTTAAACATGTATAGATAATCCAAAATGCCTACTTTCTCTTATCCCTCTTATTTTTTTTTTATTTTTTTTTTTGTTTTTTGAACTGCAACCACTCATGCACTTTACACAGACACAAATCAAACACCTACTGGACAATGGGGTTCCCTTGTTAGAGCCCTCCCACCCCAGTTTGGTTTACACAAAAATACCCCCTGGTCCCTATGGGTCAATTCCCCCCTTTCCCAGGCAAGCATACATACATACATACAACAATAATACATAAGGGTTTCAATTGCAATACAATCACTAGAAATAAGAGAACAGTATGCACAAAATCATAGCATAGACATGTTAAATAGACAATAAAATAAAACATTCAATAGCTCATCAAAGGTCAACATTTAAACACTGGTCTCCATTTGATATTCTATCTGTGTTCCAATGTCCACCCCTGGTTTCTGCTATATCTGAAAAAGGTAAGAAAACAGATCAGGATTACTTTTCCTTGTCACTTATAGCGTATACTGCCAAATCCTTTACTTAGCATATATACATATATACACATATAAATACATTCCCTAAACTTTTCATTTTATAAACAATTTGTTCAACAAGGTAACTTTCTTAATTTTCTACTTGGCTCTTAAAATAAACAATCAGCTAATAGCTGCTTTCTGCATCTTCTCTGCAATTCAGGAAACACATTTCTAGCCAACCTAAACATGTTTAATAACTCTCCACCCTTTGGTTAAATTATAGAGGAGTGAACCACAACACCTCTTCCGCCTCTGAAAGGATATAGGTCAATATGTCTCAAAGTTCAACACTTCTGACAGCTATGAGTGACTCCCTATTAATTCTAGCCTTTCCACGGACATGCTTGCACCTCGCGGCTAAGGGCCTGCACAACTAACCACCCTGTGATGGCAGTGGCTTTCCGCATGGGGGTGACCGCCCCCGCAAAATTATAGAGGAGCAAACATACAGCAGCCTCTTTTCCGGCTCGATTAAAGGTTCTGGGCCAATATGTCTGCAATTTAACCAGTACACTCACGTATCACTTATTGTATATTTCCTGGTCTCTCAGGAATTTCTATTAAATAGCGTATCCCCTTCCCAGGGCAATATACAACAAAAACTAGTCACCAAGGGTCTCTATGGTCATGATAGGCCACCCTACCACTAGTGTAATATGACCTTTTTTTAAAATATATTTCCTGGTCTCTCAGAGATTTTGCCTATCCCTTTCCCAGAGCAATATATATAAACAATTACAAATAAGTTACAAAACGCTACTTATAAGTAATACAGGGTTTCAAATAATAATACAGGATAGAACTGCACAACAACTATTGGGTATGCTCCCCCTTATCCGGACACGTTTAAATACCCCCTAGCTCAGGTTCCCCACCCGCTACTGTAACTAAAATCACAGCCCACGTTATGGAGGTTCACCCGCTAGGCAGATACACCCTAATTCAAAGCATGGAAATATTAAAATCAGTTATAGATGGCTTCTAAAATAATATAAATCTTAAATGAGCCCCTACACTTACTTTGTTAAAAATGCTAACTTGTTAAAATATTCAGACTAAATAGGACAAAGGAATTATTTTACCATTTTTTCAGTTCATTTGTTACCAGTTCCTGGATATGTCCAGTAATTCCTTAGTCCTGGATAATAAAGCTGAAAAACACTCCACAAATTGATTAGTTTAGGCAATTACATTTACAAAACAATGCAGTTTATTTTTTCTCATACAGGCAAGACTACCCACCCCCAACAAGGACAAATTCTCCCCCAGCTGTAGCTGAAAAGCATGGTCACACAGCTGTTAAAATGGTGGTCTCTCCTTCATGAGTCAAAATCATATATATATTTATACTAATATTCTGTGTATACGCACACATAAATCTATTATTCACTGAATCTGCTTTACTAAACGTATCTTTTTCTTAACTACTAAATTTTGTCCAAATCTCTTTTCAACTAGACAAATCCATGAATGCCAAACAAATGTAAATTAGTACACAAACAGGGTCAAATTTAGCAATAAAACCTGGTGAACTAGTTTAGTGAAAAGTCTTTTGCTATGCAAATGGTAGCAAACAATGAAACTAGGCCTCAACTCATTCACACCATGTGGTCAATGGTGGATTAAAATCCACATGGTCAGACAAAAGGTAAAGTATATATAAGTTTTCTCCTATATACAAATGACCAATTTTGGTAACAAGCAACACAATAATTCATCACTATGTTCTACAACAAGAGATACCTTAAAAACAAATATCTAATCCCTATCTGCTATCTGCATTCATTCCATTAAAACCAAATCATCATTCATTTATTCATTTGTATACAGACAGACAATTTACTGTATTATTTAAGCAAAATGCATAACATTTATATTTTCCCCAATATTCAAGCATAATCCTGCCGACTACGCCAAATGTTGTGGTCGTGACCTAAATATGAATATTAATCTCTTAATACATAATAATTAAGCAATACAAACAACATTAATATTTTTATAATTCATGGTATTATGGTCGAATATGTGGATAGAAAATACACAAAAAGTTGTAATATTAAATGTATATTTTATATAACTATAATAAATAAACAGATGCTAGCAGAATGTCAATTTACTACAATAATTATACAATACAAAACTACAACATATTACTTACAAAAGGTTGCTAAATGTTACACAAAAGTCTATTACAATTGCTAGATGTTACAATGGATTCATTTTACTTACAAGACCCCAGCCCTTTGGCTGGGGTTAAGTCAGAGCTGGTACTACATCTTAGGTTCAGTCAGGTACAGGCAAAGGGACAGAGTTTTCTCCTCCATCTGGTTTTATTCAGTGTAAGTAGGCTGGCCTGTGATGTCACTGCCAGAAGCACATGTCTTCCTACACACTCCCCCTAGTGGTGCCCCCAAAGCATTACACTAAATATGCTTTCTTTATGATGTAAAGTCATTAATTAATAAATACCATTACAATTATTTAAAATGTCTGCCTTTTGCTGGTCTTCATTAACTAACAGACCCATCTCTGTTTCCAGTGTACCCACACTTTCATTTATTTTTTTTAATTGATGTACTTGAAAAACTTTTTAGGGTTGGTTTTGCATTCTTTGGCTATCAATTTCTCATTTTCTAGTTTAGCCACTTTTATTGCCTTTTTGCAAGCATTATTGGCTTCCTTATATCTTATGTAGGATGCCTCTGATTTGTCCGATTTTAAATGTCCTTTTCTTATTTTTCTTGTTTTACTTCCCTACTAAGCCAAATTTGTTTCAATTTGTTTCTTTTATATTTATTACCCGATGGCACATACTAAGAAATGTACCTTTCTAATATTTGTTTAAATAGTTTCCATTTATCCTCAGTTTTTTTTTTCACCAAGGAGTTTATGCCAGTCGATATGTTGTAGAGCTGCCCTAATCTTATTGAAATTAGCTTTTTTAAAATTCTATGTTTTAGTATACCCCATGTGCTTTTGCTTGTTTGAGTTTATTTAAAAAATTACCATACTGTGATCACTAAGGAGAATGGTCATAAGGAGAAGGGTTGTACACTGCCATAAGAGTTCAAAGGCTGCTGTGTTTGGAGCCAACTTTAGGGCTCTACACATGTGAGTTTGAAATTGTACATCTGCACATAGTTTACAAATCTGGTATAATAGAGTTGCACTATTGTGTTTATTCTTTTTTTGCTTTATTTTAGAACATTGCAATTTCCTTTAACTCCCAGTATATTTCTTTCAGGTGTATTTGTCAGGAGAGGTGACAAGAACAGAAATACTAGAAGCAAGGCTATGAAGAAATCTTTTAATAACAGAACCAAGGAGTCTAACTCTGAAAAATCAAGAATTTTCTCAGATACCTATATGTTCTTTAAGGAGACAGTAAACATAAACCCCAAACCGTTCTCGTGTTCTGAATGTGGAAAATGTTTTAGTCATCTTTCAAAACTTGTTAGACATCAGAGAACTCACACAGGAGAGAAACCGTTCTCATGTTCAGAATGTGAAAAATGTTTTGTCAATGAAACAAATCTTGTTCGTCATCAGAGAATTCACACAGGAGAGAAACCGTTCTCGTGTTCTGAATGTGGAAAATGTTTTGGGCAACATTCAGAATTTGTCAGTCATCATAGAATTCACACAGGAGACAAACCGTTCTCATGTTCCGAATGTGAAAAATCTTTTGTCACCAAAGCAAATCTTGTTTGTCATCAGAGAACTCACACAGGAGAGAAACCGTTCTCATGTTCTGAATGCGGAAAATGTTTTGTTACTAAAGCACATCTTGTTTGTCATCTGAGAACTCACACAGGAGAAAAACCATTCTCATGTTCTGAATGTGAAAAATGTTTTGTCACTAAAGCAGTGCTGTTCCGTCATAAGAGAACTCACACAGGAGAGAAACCGTTCTCATGTTCTGAATGTGAAAAAATTTTTGTCAATAAAACAAATCTTGTTTGTCATAAGAGAACTCACACAGGAGAAAAACCATTCTCATGTTCTGAATGTGGAAAATGTTTTGTCACCGAAGCAGTGCTTTTCCGTCATATGAGAACTCACACAGGAGAGAAACCGTTCTCATGTTCTGAATGTGGAAAATGTTTTGGGCAAAATTCAAAACTTGTCAGTCATCAGAGAACTCACACAGGAGAAAAAACATTCTCATGTTCTGAATGTGGAAAAGGTTTTGGGCAACATTCAGAACTTGTCAGTCATCAGAGAACTCACACAGGAGAGAAACCATTCTCATGCTCCGAATGGGGAAAATGTTTTGGGCGACATTCAGATCTTGTCTGTCATCAGAGAACTCACACAGGAGAGAAACCATTCTCATGTTCTGAATGTGGAAAATGTTTTGGGCGACATTCAGAACTTGTCGGTCATCAGATAACTCACACAGGAGAGAAACCATTCTCATGTTCTGAATGTGGAAAATGTTTTGGGCGACATACAGAACTTGTCAGTCATCAGAGAACTCACACAGGAGAGAAACCGTTCTCATGTTCTGAATGTGAAAAATGTTTTGTCAATAAAACCAATCTT